AACCCTACAGAGGACAGTTCTACACTAACACACATGGGGTTGCCATGAGTCAGAATTGTCTGAAAGGCAACTGGTGTTTTTTTAAGGATGCAGAACATTGAAGGATTTGATATATAACCTAGGGGTTGGGTAGGAGATAAAATGGTGATCTGAAAATAAAGAGCTTACTTGTGGAATCAGCCTTATTTCAATCTACAACTCCACGGTGTAGAATATTAAGATGTACTGAGAGACTACTATGGGCCAAGCTCTTTTCAGTAACTAGATGTCAAAAGGTGGCAGAGTTCTGGGTCAACTGAATGAAACTGGGGAGTGGGTACTCCCTCATAAGGAGTTCAAGGAGAGATTATCCATGGTTCGTTTCTCAAACCTGGCCACACCTTAAGGTCTACTTTAATTGCTCTGTGGGTAGAGCCCAGGGAATAGTATTTTTTCAAAACTCCCAGCTATTTATAATGGGCAGTCAGATTTAAGAACCAGATGACTACTTGTCTGTATTAAATGAAAAGTTAAAAATAAGAGGAAGGTAAATGGAAATTAATATTTATTGATTATATATCAGGCATTATACTTAGCATTGTCAGTCTAACCTCTTTATTAAAGCTATGTCAATACCTGGAATCCTTTAGCAGAGTCAGGCACATAATCTCTCAAATGTTTGGTGTTAATCTTCTCTACAACTTTATAATGCATTTTTAAATGAATCCTGGGAAAAATTAACTTATAATGCAGGTTTTGGCATCCCTACATCATAGAAAAAGAAACTAAGGCTCAGAGAAATTAATTTACTTTCACAAATGCACTAGGTGGTAGACTGCAAAACTGTGATTTAATCCCAATTTAAAGCTGTGTGTCTTCCCTGCTCCTTCCATCAGGTCGCTTCTAAGACATCTGGGTATTTATATAATTTACCTGAGCAATCGTAACAGAACCATTTCCTCCTGGCCTGTTCTCAAGGAAATTATCTTTAGTGAAAATTCTGAAAAAGAGAAGCCAAAAAGTAAGCATCCACATTTTTTCTATTGTGGCTCTATGGAAACTTATCTGTAGGTCTTGAGAACCTCTGAGGGTAGAGGAAGTAGATCAAGGTGGCCTTTCAGAACTGAAACAAAGCACTTGAAGCAAACATGGACAAAGCTCTGCTCTGAAGTAAAACACTTCTCATACTAACGAATGGATAAGGAGCATATCTGTTATGTCTATAGTACTTCAATTACATATTAACACTGAGGGAGGGGAAGCTGGTCCTGATCATCTCTGATACCTCCTTTTGGCCAGCTTGATCCCCACTGAATTTGCCTGTGTGTGGTGGCTGATTTGAGTACGTACATTTTCTGGAGAAAAGGAAGAAAAATCCAAGGAGTGGTAACCCCCCAAAAACAAAGCGAGTTCCTCAAGGGCAAGGACAACCTTCACTTTACTATTCCATATAATCTTTAATATAGTATTCAATACAAATTAAATAATTCTCAAAATTGCCACAATTAGAAAACTGCATTAGTTTTTGTCATGGTTTGAATTATGTCCTCCCAAAAATGTGTGTATCAATTTGGCTAGGCCATGATTCCTGGTACCGTGGGATTTTCCTATATATTGTAAATCCTGCTTCTATGATGTTAATGAGGGAGGATGGGTGGCAGTTGTTAGTAAGGCAGGACTGGATCTACAAAACTGGATTGTGTCCTGAGGCAATCTCTTGAGATATAAAAGACAGAAGTGAGCAGTGAGACAAGGGGACCTCATACCGTGAAGAAAGCAGTGCCGGGAGCAGAGCGCGTCCTTTGGACCAGGGTCCCTGCGTGGAGAAGCTCCTAGTCCGGGGGAACACCGAAGAGAAGGCCGACAGAAAGAAAAAGCCTTCCCCTGGAGCTGACGCCCTGAATTTGGACTTTTAGCCTACTTTAACTGTGAGGAAATAAACTTCTCTTCGTTAAAACCATCCATTTGTGGTATTTCTGTTATGGCAGCACTAGATGCCTAAGACAGTTTTCAAAAATAAAGTATCCTCCTTTAAGTTGTAGCATTCACTGAATTACTTCATGTTACAGTAATTCAGGTATTTTCCCTTTCTGTTGCGGCAAATCATTAAAATTTAGAGCCCGTGTAACACACAAAATGATACATTTAATGTAATTTTAGTTTTTGAGCATCGCTTACATCTTAAACTAAAAAATACATAACAGTTTCATCTATAAAAATATGAAGCTACAGGTCCTTAATGTCTCGTTATTAACTATTTAAAATAACCAATATAACTATTAGTGCCAACTCTGCACCCAGATGTACCTTCTCTATATCCAGAAACGTTACACAGTACGTTTCGCAAAGCAATGAGTGTATTATTAAAAAAAAAAATCCAAACTCGTTGCAGTTGATTCTGACTCACAGCGACCTTATATTATTATAGGTACCTGAGAATAAATTGATTAAAGACATTTTACTTTACTCTCTTTTTACCAATTAGCCTCTAGCTATACTTTATTCATCTTTTAAATTTTATCCAGATAACTCGTCCTAGAGTCACAAAAAAATTTAATGGGGAGAAAGAAATAACATGCTGAATTTTTACAGGTATTTTTATATATTCTGCAGTATTTGTCAGGAGGGTCTAGAACCATACTGTTCTATGTAATTTAAAATTTTCTAGTAGTCACATTAAAAAATAAACAGATGAAACTAATTTATTTTAACTCAATATATAAAAAGTATCGTTTCAACATACAATCAATACAGAAAACTTGAGATGTTTTACATTCTTTTTTTCCCTACCAAGTCTTCAAAATCCAGTGTGTATTTTATACTTAGAGCAGATCTCAATTTGGACTAGCCTCACTTCAAATGCACAATAGTCACTGGTGGCTAGTGGCTACTGTATTGGACAGCACTGGTCTAGAGTTCTAACCCCTTTCTATCTCTAGTGCAGTATTAACCACAAAAACAAAATGCATAAAGTTGATCCAAAGCTAAGTAATGCTGTTAAAATGACAAGTGAAAGATTAAATGTTTTCTAATTACTTACATGGGAAAAATACTATTTAAGAACGCCTTTGCAATCATTTTAACATCGTTTTAGAAATGCCTTGAAAAATGGTTTCTTTTTTCCATTACCTCATTAAAAGTCTTTCTGGGCACTTGGTTATTTTCTGTTTCCTCATCTAAGAATTGTGGTGCAAATGGTTAATGAGCTCAGCTGCTAACCAGAAGTTCAGAGGTTCAAGTCCAACCAGAGGTACCTTGGAAGTCCTAGAGATCTCTTCCAAACCATCAGCCATTAAAAACCCTATGGAACACAGTTCTACTGACACACATGGGGTAGACTCCACAGTAGCTGGAACTGGAAAAAACTCGTTCATTCTGTAATTCAATACATACTTATCTCCTGACAACTATGTGTAAAATATTGTTAGATGCAGTGAAGGACGTAAAAGACACCACCACATCTCTGCTTTCACAAAGCTTCTAAACTAGTGAGAAAGGAAGAGTGACAAACATGTGAAACCACATCTTTGTATTTTACTTTACTGTAGCACTATGTCAATTATTTGTTTGCCTATCAGTCTTTCCCCAGTTCTTTAACAATGAAGGGAATGGACTTTATCTTCTGTTTTCCCAGGGCCTAACAGACGCCTTAATAAATATCTGTGAAATTCAGTGTAATGAATAAGCATGTTATTTTCTAGGACAGAGGTTCCCTACAAAGTAAACTAAGAACATAAAGAAATATTTCATCTTCCCTACAGAGAACAGAAACAACAGTAAGGCAGAAGAGTTATCAAATAAGCCAGGTCATGAAGGATTTGACACAAATAAAAGATGATGAGATTTGAAGAAAATAGTGAAGGTTTTAGAGCAGAGAAAGTATGAAAATAGAAGAGTACATCGCTTATGATAGGTTCTCTCTGAACATTTGCTTACTAAATGCACAAGTGAAAAAAAGAGATTGAATGACCTGAGAATATCATTTGCAGAGATAGAAATGGAAGATTCGAGAAGTGGAGGGGTGGTGTTGCTGCACATTTTATGAAAAAAAGTACAGCCCATAAGTAAGCAGTTGCAATTAACATTTTAAAGCAAACAAGAGGAGCAGCAACAACCCTCCCTACTTAGAAGGTACAGTAGTGTGCCCTATTGTCTTACCTTTTGGACAACGCCTATGCATCCATTTGAGAATGTTAATGATTCCATAGTATGTCATTAACTTGAACAATTTCACTCAAGCATGTTTGTGGGGAAGGTGAAAAATAAGAAATTTAACAGAATGACATGCATTTATTTTACCATCATGCACACAGGACGACAAATATGTCAGTGATACACTTCCCATTTTACAGAGCAAGCTCACAAGTATTTATGCTATTTAGAAAAAGAGACACATGAATTACTAAGTTGTTACCAGGTAAAATTACCAAGCAAGGCAATCAATCAGACCTGCAAATTTTTTGTAGGCTATTTTTCCATGAAGACAATAATTTCCAAAGTCTTCAGAGTTCGATAAGACCAAGTTATTCAAACTACATTTCTAAGGATACAGTTTTAACAGAAACAAGATGAAAACTGTTACGAATATTCACATAAGTTTCTAATATTGTACAGGAAAATAAGATTGATATGCTTCCAAATGTTCCCAACTGAAAGCAAAAGAAAGCCTGTACAGCTCAGTTATTCCAGTAAGTATAACAGAAAAGGTAACAGGATTTTGTTAAATACTAATGAAATAAAGGGAAGACTATTAATCTTCAACATAAATAAGGTTACATGAAAAAAGGAGAAAACACCCAAAGTTGCACTGTGTTTCCTTAAAGAACCCTACTCTAGGCAACATATTTAACACTTCAATTCTATCCATCTCAATTCTGAGAAAAGTATTTCTCCTCCCATCACCTTTTCTCACAGGCTCTGTCAGTCCAGTCTTAATTCTAGGGCCAATTTGCTAACTCATTTCTGGCTCTGGCCTTTTGTTTGGTTTTCTCTGCTTAGGGCACCCACTACAATCTTTTAAATTTTTCCATCCATTCTAAACTAGAAATCATCTTTCATTCCATTCAGATGTCTCTCTTTAAACTCTCTAGGTGTTGTTAAAAAGAGAGAGTGGGGGAGTTGGCAAAAGAGCAGAGGAAACAGTAAGAGCTCTGGCAGTCTATTTTACAGGAAATGTTTTCTGGAAATGAGACAGCCAAATTAAACTAAAAGCCTGCTTTTGCAGATGTTTCTCAGCTATCACTTTTTTTTTCTTTTAAAGAGAGAGATAAGACAGAAAAGTTTACTGCTACCCTGAAACTTAATCTATGTTCAGAATTAGGAAGGGAGGCAAACAAAAGTACCTAGGTTTTTGTGAATTCACTGGTTGAGGATGGCTCTAACCACTTGCCTGGGAGTCAGTAGGGTTTCTGGGAGACTGGGGGTTGGAGGTATGAGGAACTGAAGTGTCTTTTGTGTGATGGCAGGAAACCTGGGTCCACCAACAGTTTTGAAGATCTTTGTTTACTAGAAACCAGACAGTGAGGCTGATGAGAGTCTGGAAGATGTTCATTCAGAAGGCAGCAGCCAAGGAGACTAGGCATAGCCAGAAGCAGGTAGCAAGAGAAAGTGACAAGAGTAGGAAGAACAATGGAGTCACATAAATCACATAAACCGAGCGGGCCACTGCTTCTCTCCCTTGACATTATTAATGCCCAGCAATTGTCCACAGGCCATGTGCCTGTACTTCCAGATGCAGAGCAAGGTGTGTAGAATGAGCTTCTAGCCAAAGGTAGAAATGCAGGTGGTAGTAGCCAGACCAGAGGCCCTGGAAACAAACAGGGTCCAAGCAGTGCAGATAAAGTGTAATTTATAGCATCATTTGCTTGCCTTACAAGTGGTGTGAACCATGGCCATGCAGTATGTGATGTTTATACAAGGTGAGGTGAACAGCATAAAGATCATGTGAAAGTGGAGGAGCATGGAAGTCTGAATCCTGAGGGTGAGAGAACTGAATGTCCAGAGGGAAGATGCAGAAAATCAGCACAGAAAAAGTAGAAATCATACCCCTGCCATTGCCCAAGCACAGGTCTCAAAGGAGGTGGTAGGGGACCTTGTGCTAGAGGATTTCCAAGGGCAAAGGTTAACCAGACTGGAATCCAAAGGGCCTGGGGATCTCCACCGGCTCCCTTATTGGGCGAAGCCTGGGTCTACGGGCCCCTTCACGCAACAAGTAGTACTGCAGTGGATTTGGCCACAGGTCCTCTTTGATAATCTCAGCAATCCTGTCAGACTCTGGAAGGCTATGGTCTGAAAACCAGGTGAAGAAGCTGCAGATGATGTCTTGGTTCCTGCGAATGAAGGACTGGGGTTCATGGCCTCTGCGCCATATGATGGGAGTGGAAAGAGACACCACTCGGCCTGAGGATCTGACCTCATATTCCTTGACAATCAGCTTATTCCTGAAATAGGGGTTTCTTCGGAAGAAGAACTTGAACTTGCAGCCCGTCCTAGGGTGTTTGAGCTCCTTCACCTCCAAACTGGTTATGTACCTTAGCATCTCTGCATCTTGGCCCCTAATCATAGCGGACAGCTGGGGATGGTTCCGAAAGGCGGCGGCCCAGAAGCCAGGGATATTCTGAATGATATAGTTCCTCCGCTCCAAGTAGTGTCGACGCATCCGCCCAAACTTCTGCTCCAGCTGCAGAAAGGCTCTGTCAGCCTGAGCATTTACGGTGTCCAGCTCCTGCTGAATGGCCTCCAGAGGGTTCATGTGGAGATCCCTACTCAGGGGCCGGGGCCTTGCCTCCTCTATCACTCTACTTTCTTCCACCACTTCCATTTCTTCACCTACTGGCTTCTCTTCCACCTTCATCACCTCCTCCACTACCTTCTCCTCCATCACTCCTTCCTTCTCCATCCTCTCCACCGCCACCTCAGCCCTCTCCTCATCCACTGCTACTGCGAAGATGGCGCACCTTTCAGGCTTCATTTCCTTGGCCTTCGCCCCAACTATCACCTCAGACCCGGACCTCCCTTCGTCACAGGTTTCTAGGGCCTTCTTCCCACCAGGGCCGCGAGGCTCTCCACACTGACAGTCATTTTTCAGGCTGCCATCAGTTGCCACTGAGACTGAGGCAAAAGCTGCTTTCAGGCCCTCTGTGGGACGCGCAGCCTCTTCCTTCCCCTCTATGGTCGCTAGGTGACTGCGAGCCCCACTGACTCGGATCTGGCAAGTATGGCCACAGCCCGCGGGGTCCCGGGGTGCGTCCCCCTTCTCTGGAAGCTGGGGCGGTGGGAGCGCAACGGTCTTCAAGTTGCCCTTACCCGTCTCCGCCATCACCTGTGTCGCCTCGGTTTTCTCTCGGAGGCTCTGGCAGTGGTGTCGGTCCGGGTCTCCTGGGGCATTGTCGGGAATAGTGATGCTGCAGGTTTCGGGCAGAGGGGTCCTCTCGCCCCTATCCAGGCCGCTCATGTTGATAGCTGGCCACTGGCGGTGGGCGAGCGACAGTTTTCCTCACAGAGGCTGCACTCGGGATGAACCGGCTGTTCGCGCCACCCACTCTCAGTGTCGCGAGCGTCTCTGTGTCAGTGACGTCAGAGCTGTAGGCTCTCGCACAGCGCGAGAACGCGCTGCGCCCTGGGATTGGCTCAGCTGCTGCTTATCGTCGAAGCGTAATTTTGTTTTACCTCTATGAATTTAATCAGTTGGATCGGTAATTTGACTTAATAAATAAATGTAGATCTGCCTGTTATACATAAAAATCCGAAACCAAAACCAAACCTACTGCTGTGGAGTAGATTCTGACTCATAGTGACCCTACGGGACATAGTAGAACTGCCACACACAGTTTCGAAGGCTGTAATATTTAGGTAAGCAGACTAACAAATCTTTATACCAAAAAGCCATACGGCGCAGCGCTTTCACTACTGCGCCACTGGGGCTCCTTCCCATATACTATATTTTAAGGACTGTAAAAATGAGGATCTGAAGGCAGTGACACCCTTCCTGCGATGTGTCTGGAAACTCCTTCCACCCTGTAAGCTGGCACAGCCCTACACTACTGTCCCGTGTCTGAGAACATTTTCCGAAAACATCTTTTCCCCCCTCGTTTTCTTTCTTTCTTTCCTTCTTTTTTTAGGTAGGAAAGTAAATATATTCCCTGTTATTTCATAATGGCTAGGAGCAAAAGTCTTCACTTTTAACTAAGATGAGTAGCAAATTGTTTCTTTTTCCTCACGTAGAAGTGACAGGACAATATAAATTCGAGCCGGTAACGTTACTGGGAGAAAAAGCTACTCAGCGGCTTTTTTCTTTTTCTTTCTTTCTCTTTTTTTTTTTAACCACTAAAGCGATGCATATTATTCATTGCTAGTCCTTAATTTATAATCCGCATCCAAGAGGCGCTTGTGCTGCATAAGCTTTGCAGGCAGGAAGCCAGGAACAATTTGCTAAATCTCACTCCATGGCCTCTTGCTGCAGGAAAGAGGAAATGATCAGCTATTTCCAGCCACATAAACCATTAACGTATTTAGTTCTGTAAAGTAGGAAAGGTTGACTCTCATGAAGTATCTTTTCATGGCAATCAGCTCATTGAGTTCATTTGAGAGGGATGTCAGTGTCTTTTTGGTTTTTTAGTTCATTGGCCTGTGAGGAAAACTGGTATCTTAGAGTTACAAATGAAACCCACTGCTATCCAGTCGATTTCGACTCAAAGGGACACTATAGGACAGAGTTGAACTGCCCCACAGGATTTCCAAGGCTGTAACTCTTTACCGAAGCAGACTGCCACATCTTTCTTCGTGGAGGCTGGTGGGTTCAGACCACCGACCTTTCAGTTAGCAGCCGAGTGCTTAACCACTGTGCTACTAGAGCTCCTTAGAGTTACAAGGTCTCACAGAAATATCAGGTGGGGGGTGGGGCATCCACCACCATATTTATGAGAAAAAGAAAAACAGGTTAAAATGAATTACCCCAATGGCCTTGAAGTAGAAAAGAAACTTGCAGAACTTCAACAGGCAGCTTGTTGATTAAAGGGGTAGAAGAGGCAATTACGACACCCCCATTTTCTTTGCCTGTGTGGTAGGATGAGAAATGATAGACCCCAAAGATGTCCTCATCCTAATCCCTAGAACCTGTGAATATGTTACTTTACATGACAAAAGGGCCTTTGCAGATATCATTAAATTAAGGAATTTGAGATGGGAAGATTATCTTGGATTATCTGAGTGGGCCCAATGTAATCACAAGGGTTCTTATCAGAAGAGTGTCAGAGTCAGAAGGAGATGTGATGATAGAAGTAGAGGTCAGAGAAAGAGGGAAAGATTTGAAGATACTATGGTGCCGACTTTGAAGGTGGAGGAAGGACCAGGAGTCAAGGAATGCAGGCAGCCTCTAGACATGGGAAAAGGCAAGGAACCTGATTCTCGCCTAGAACCTCCAGAAGAGTGCAGACCTGTTAATGTCTTGATTCTAGGACTTCTAACCTCCAGAACTGTAAGATAATAAATGTGTGTTGTTTTAAGCCACTAGGTTTGTGGTAATTTGTTACAGCAGCAGTAGAAAACTAATACAACTTGGGTTGAAGTTGGATTGAATCTGCTTGCCTCAATTTTTTTTCTAGCAGCAGGTCCTGCTACCTTGCCCATTGCTTTCCCTGAGATCCTGACAGCTGTGATTTATAATAGCTTGAGTCTCTTTTTGGACATTAAGGCCATAAATATACTTAGGCAATACACAGAAAGATAAAATTTAAATCAAAACCTACCAAAAAAAAAAAAAGGAAAAGAAAGATATTTGAGAAAAGATTGTGAGCTCTAGGAGGGCAGGAACACGGTTTTGTTTACCGCTATGTACCTAGTGCCTGGCACAGTGTTCCATAGGTTTGAGAATGTTAAATGAATTAACAAACAAATAGAGCACAGTTTCTCTTGCCTATAACTTAGGGTTTGCCAAAGAGAAGGGACAAATGGGTTGACACGCTGCTCTTCTCCCTATCTGCCACTCACAAACCAGAGGACCAACCTACTATCTGCATGGCAAAGTCCTATCCAGGAGAATGAATTTCTACATATGTGTCAAAGCATAGGGAAAACAATTTGTTTTATAAATAATTTACATTTGTGCGGTCACTGTATATGACAAACAAACTCTGAAAGGACCAACATATTTAGGTGAATTTACATAGCAAAGCTTCAAACTACCAGCACTGCATTTCTCTTCTTCTAATTCTTCTCTCCTTTCTGTACAAGCCGAGGGAATGATTCCAGGCCTTACTTCATTTCCCTCTGCAAGAAATGGATATAGATCCTTTGATGCATAGCTGAAATTACTTTTGGTAGAGATAAGAATGAATAATGGAGCTTTTCACAAAGCCCACTTCTTTTTAATTGCACGAAATCATCTTCTATCTTGGAACTGGAATAATTTAATTTGGCGTAAAGTGGTAACTTTTATTACTCTAACATGCCTTTATTTCAAAGCAAAAAATAGTATCAGGTTTTGACCGGTCCTAGAAGATATGGCTTTATTTGTCAAAGTCACCATTATGATTTATGAAAGTGCAATTACGCTCTAACTGATAATGTTAGAAAAGACTCCAATTACAGATGGTGTTATGTTAATGCAATCAGGAGCCTGCTGAATGTAATTTCCCCAGATAGGGTTAAGATACTTTGAAGGAATGCTTCCTACTTTTCCTGTTAGTACATTTGAAAAAGCTGTGATATGGAATATTTTTGTATTTGGTTGAATATATACAGAAAATGAAGAGAAACTTAAATTTCTTTGAATTTTAATTATCTGAAGATAACGTTAGAGAAATGATTATGATTATAACTCTTCATTATAGATAATGGAGAGCCCAGATTATAATAACTTTTAATTAAATAACTGCATAGGAGACGGGCCAGTGAGAGGCACTGATTTAGACAGAAAAGCAGGTTTGTGTACTCTGTTCCATTTCTTTTTCTAAAGAGTTTTTGCATCGATGAAGAAGGTACTCTCTGGGATTTTAACCTGATCCAAAATTTACATGCTTAGGAAGAATTATTTTACCATGCAGGAAAAAAAAATGTGGTTACTATTTGCCACAGATAATTGTACTTACTGTAAAAGAGCTATTACCTGTCAATTTTTTTTTTTCTTAACATTTTATACCTAAAGTCTTAAGAAGGATATGTGTCTCTTTTTCATTATACAGGTTAACCTGTTATCTGAAACATTCTCTTTTTAGGCAGATCCTGCCTGTTCATTCTCTAAGACCCGGCATAAACCTGTCTTGCTATAGAATGTGCTGGGCGTTTTATGTTCATTAAGATTTTAAATTTTATAAAAAAGGAAATAGTAACTCTGAAAGGTTAACTAACCTAACCAAGGTCATGCATATAGTAACCACTAAATTCCTTCTCCTTCTCCTAGATGCAGCTTTCCTTGACCGTTCTACAGTTCATTGAGCTTCTGCCCTTGTATTCCTACAGCTTTTTTATAAGATTTGCCATGCAATTTAGCACTTAATTATATTCTTCCTCTTAGTGATTGTCTCATACATGTCAGTCTCATCATCCTGTAGGATGGGAGCACAGTGGTTTCTTCTTCTGTCAGATTTACTCAGCATAATGATAGCTATTAATGATATTTGATGATTTGAATAAAATAAAACCTTAAAGGATCTGACAAAAACTAATCGTGTGTCTATACTGGCATTTTATTTTATTTGAAGGAGGAATGTATTTTGGCTATGCTTCATATATTACCTTTTTGCACTTTGGAATATAGGATATATCTGTACATGACAGAGCATTTCTGTGGCAATTGGCATAAACCAAAAGGTAGTTGAATACATTATGATTCTTTGGGAAAACATCCACAAAAAAATGACATGAAGTTATTCTCTATCATATCAAGGAATCATAGTCTTCAACAGTGATTTCTCAGATGGCAGTTAGTTTAGCAGAAGTTCAGACATTGTTGTTTTGCAGAAGGATATGTTTTCTGGTTATAATTAATGATAGCTTTCATTTATTTACTACTTTCGATGTACCAGGCGCTGTTATAAGCACAGTCACACGTGTTTTTAGTTTTCATAAGAACGCTGTGAGGTAATGTTATTTCGACTGTCATTTTACTCACTAGGCAACTGAGGCAAAGAGAGACTGGGACACTTACCCAAGGTGATATAGAAAGTGATAGTCCCATAGTTTGTACCCAGGAAGTTTGACTCAAGAGGCTGTGCCACCCTCTCTGTAAAAAAAGTGAAATCACTTTCTTAAGAGTGTAAGACCATCTTTATTTACTGTTAAATTGATACACAGTTTTCCTTCTCCTCCCAAATATTTGCCATGTAACTATAGGCAAGTGACTTGACTTCTCTGAGATTTCCTAATCTTCACAATAAAGCAAATACTACCTATGTCATAAGGGAGATGAAAAATTAAATAAAATAATCTATAGGAAGCCTTTAAAACAGTAGCTATTATATGGTAGATTGTCAATAAATATCAATATTTCTATTAGTGGTCAAACTAATGAATGATGGTCAAATATTTGCTTTGTAGATTGTCA